CTCTCAATTCCCTTAAAAAAGTAAGGTTTAGCTTTATTTGTTAACTTTCTAATAACCTTAACTTCATAATTTCTAACTTAACTTTCTGATTTCAGCTCACTGTCTCTTGCACCAATAGTCATGATATGCTCTGGTCTTTTACTCTGGAATATGTGGAGGAGGCCTGCCCTCAGCTTCCAATTTCTGTGCCTAGTTTTTCATGCCTTAGGAGGACACAGGTCCAGCTTATGCCTGTTACACACAGTGTGTGTAACCAAAGCCACATGTAAAAGCAGGCTCCTGAAGCAGTCCACCACCCTTCACAGAGCTAGAATTGCTGGGCAGCTCCCTCAGTGGCAATTTCTGTGCCATTCCATCAAGTCTGAAGTTGCCCCAAAGATGCGCTGCCTAATCCTTGCATCATAACCAGAGGAATTTTTACAAAGGAAGAAAAGGTGCTCTGGTATCTCTTACAGACTGAACACATTCCCTGCTGCTGCCTCAAAAGATATAGCAATCAAAATAGAGTATGACCGTGTCATGGTCACCCTGCGATTTCTAGGAGCTAAAACAATTAATTGGAGCCACATACAGCTTTAAATTTGTAATGTGAATGAGCAAACTGCAGACCAGCCCAAGATAATGAAAATGCAAAGATATCTGAATCCATCTATGGCAGCTTTCCAGAGCTGCAAGCATTTTGCTCTGTATTTCCAAGTATTGAAAGAATTTAAAAATGCAGTCTTATTGTGAAAGATCAGCTGACAGTTCCAGGTGTCCGGCTAGACTCCTAAGAAATTCACTGTGCTGAAAGAAGTTACCAACATGTGCGTGTTTTGAACCACACTTCCAAGCACATTTCCAGACACATTTCTGGAGCTGGACCTAGAGCCAATTTTTTCATAATATGTTTAGGGAGGAGCTGTTTGTCAAGTCTGTTCTCAGGCCAGAGCTACAGCCTTCTTCAGAGCCCTCTGTTGAAGCTGGACCAAGAGCCATCGCTAGAGCCCTCTCCTAGAGCCTATTTGGCTCTAGAGCCATTTCTAGAGCACTTTCCAGAAATAGATCTTAGGCCAATTTTAGAGCCCTTTCCCAGAGTGGGCCTAGAGCCATTTCTTGAGGTCTTTTCCAGAGCTGGATCTAGGTTCAATTGCCCAGTCATTTATTGGAGATGGATTTAGAGCATGTTCTGGAGCCCTCTCCCATAGCCCTTTCTGGCACTTTTTGTAGAGGCCTTTACTAGAGTGGCTTTAGAGGGGTTTATCTCACAGTGCCTTTCTAGAGCTGACTCTAGAGCCCATTTCTGGATAGCATCTCTACAGCTCAGTCTAGGACAATTTGTACAAGTCATTGCTGGAGCTAGAACCACTTCTAGTGTCTTTTCTAAAGCTGGTTCTGTAATTTCTGAGATAGAGCTAGAGCCTGAGCTGGATCTGGAGCCATTTCTAAAACCTGACCTGGAGTCTTTTCTAGAATGCCTTTTCCTGTAGAGCCCTGCAAACTGAAATAGCTTTTCAATTGAGAATTCACTGTAAGAATAATGTGAATAATACTAGTGTCTAATACAGAGTAAAAAACAGAGTATTTTGAAAAAGCTAAATCACTTCAAGCCTATAAATTCTCTCCATCCTTGTTGTTCAAGGGAGTATTTATAAAAAAAATCTCCGCAGTCAGCTTCCATGCAGAAATTAAAATATTCACCACATGCAGATTCCACACACACATTATTTCTATTAATTTACACATCTGCTATTAAAAATATGAACTCTATTTTTAAGAATGTCACCTTTAGCAGGCAAAACTGACATGTATCACCAGGAAATACTCACCTTCAGAAATGGCTAGATGTAAAACAAAAGATCTTCCAAATCATCATTCTCATCCATTTGTACAGTAACTAAATACATCAAGCATGCAGTGTGCAAGAGGCATTACAGAAATACAAAGGGGCAGACGGTCACAGAGTAACAAAGGAGTGCAAAGAGAATGAATGAATATTTTAACACCGCAAACAGATCAAAACAGCAGACAGATTTAAATATACACAGCATAACTTGATTTTACAGGAAGTAACACTTTCATACAGAAAAGGTGTAATTAGGCATTCAGATTCCACTTCCAAAATCTGTATGCAAAGCCATGCTTTTCAAGTAAGTTGACATAATTTTTGCAGTCTTGAAGTTTGATTAGTTTAGTAAAATTTCACTTTCTTTGTAGATTTATCATAAACCAAGTTTCATGCTATGGTTTGAAGAGCATAAAACGTAAAAGCTAATAACTCTTAAATAAAAAACAAAGAATGCATGTGTTACATATTCAATGCCTGGCTCAGAATGAAAAATATTGGCTTTCTACTAAGGCATACAAACACATCCATAGGATTTTACCAGTACATCATTTTTACCTGTAAAATTTAGACAGGTAGGTCTAAATAGAAAATATGTGAAAAATATTTATTATTTATATACAAATGGCATTTAGTGATCAAAATAAATCAGTGTAACAGTATTCCACACTGGTCCTTGTCAGAGTTTCAAACAAGTATGCCAGGACATTTTCTTCACTTATGTACCACACATTAGTTTGGTACAATAGGTATCTTTCAGGAATACTCTCTTCCTTTCTCCTTCCACTCTCAATGTCAATCATTGGTGATATTATACACCACATGTCTCAGTTCACCAGTATCGTTTTCTTCAGCATAGAAAACAAAAAACTGGAGTGTTAGGAAGGCTCTTTCATGTATTTAGGGCAAACACGGATTCAAACAATTCATCAAGCACCCTAAGCACTCAAGTGACACTGCAGTTAGGTGACACTATGGCAGAAAATAAATTTAGGAATGAATGAGTTTATGAATTTAAGGAGAGTTCACATCACACTTGAAATGGACATTTCTGTTCACTGGAAATGAAAGGCAAGCCAGCAAGGGTTCTGAAGAGCATTAGAGCTCTATGGATCAAGCAATACCTATAAATCAGTGGTGATTTCTTGTCTGTTAAATGGAACCCAAGGACCAGGGGACATCTCTTCCCCTGTATTGTAACAGCAGCTAAAGAACAACTCCATTTTCTAATAAATATCATACATATCATAATGTTGCAAACCTTAAAAAGTATTTTAAATGTATTAAATCAAATGTAAAGCTTAGCTGTGAGGGTCTTTCTAAATTTCCAAGGCTTCAGTAGAAGAAACGAACATGTGCAACAAAATACCAAATCTGGCATTACTTTCCCCACAACTTATTTTTAAAAACATAAAAATCTGAAACCAATAATAATTCGAGTCATGCAAGGGAAAATGGGAATATTTAGTTAACTGTTACCACAGGACTCCTTCACACAACAGGAAGAAAACTAATTGCTGCTTATAACCTTCTCAAGGGCCAAGGAAAGGAACTGTGAAAACCTAATCCTCTAATGACTTCAGTGGGAAGTCTGGTCACACAGCAATGTTAGGTAACAGTATCAAAAGAAGAAATAAACTGCACTGCAACTACCCTCATTTATCTGTCCTTCTCTTTCTTATTTTGTTTGTCCAGCATGGCTGTGACATGAAAGCTAGGTTCTTAGTTTTGCAACAATTTACACATTTGTCCCTGAACAAAACAAAGCCGATACGACTGTATAAACCAGACTTTACAGGGTAGGTCTTGGAAGGAAGAGATGAAAACTAAAAATCAGCAATGTGTTTTTAGCACTATCTCTTTGCTTTTAAACATCTGCTTTGTAAAGTGATTCTGACAGTAAGGTAAAACTATGCTTTCCCTAGTTTCCTGTGTGCAACAGTAATCTATCACAGATAATGACTTATGATTTTAAAAAACACATTGTAAAATCATTGATCAGATAAAAATGCTCTCATAACATAGTTATCATATCAGCAACTAGAAATTTTGTTTGATTGTCTGATTTCCAGGAATATAATAATGCATTATAACTCCTTCCAAAACTAACGTACAACATGGCAAAGCCATGAATAGGGCTGCACACACAATCAGCAGTCTGGTAACACCATCAACTATGGTGTCAGGCTGCTTTCTATGCAAGAGAGATTTTTCTGTTGGCTAATAAAGATGGCACAGCTGCCTAAGATTGCCAGAACAGTATCGTCTGTGGTATAACTAAAAGCTAATACATACAGTTATAATCATTTTCTTTTAGCATTCAAATGCTAGCAGGATCTTTTATTTATTTATCAGAAAATATCTTCACCATAAACTGGAGTTTCCCAAGCTCAAGCGTGTTAGAAACCAGGAAACTACAAAGGAAGTGGGGCTGTAACCTTAGTAAGGGAGCTTTGTAAAAGGAAAACCTTGCAAACTGTTGCCATAAACTACAGTTTTAAACCACATTATACAGCTACAACTGACACCACTTTAGTTCCTGGCTGGAGTCTGGAGTACACAAACCAACAAAAAGCTGTGACAACTCCCACTGACAAGTATAGTAAATTGATTCTTGATTATTGATAAATATATCAGCTTGCTGGTGCAGGTTGTCACAGCAGTACACAGCTCTACAATGCGTGAAGCACTAAACACTTTGTGTCAAGGTAACCTAGTCATACTCTTTCTGTAAGACAGATCTTGAAGCACCCATTAAAAATATTTTGCAACATGACTGGTAAACACAAATAACACTTCAATTACTTTATGGATATTTGAACAAAAGCAAAAGTTGGGCTTTCAGAAAAGGACACTTGTCTGTAACTATAGAGGAGAATATTTGTACAGGTACACTGCCCATCTCTGTGTGCAAAATAACATTTCTCCCTGCTGGAATATTATAGAATAAAGAGATTAGTGCCTCATTTAATGAATATTTTTGGCAAGCATGGTGAACGTGATGTCAGACAGATACAGGCACTAGAATCACACAGTTCAGTCAAAAGAGCAAACACTGGTAGGATGACAAGAATCTCAATTGCATGCAAAAAAGCCATTGCTGAGAAGCTTGAGTAAATGCAGAGGCCATCTTACAAGTAGCAGTAGCATACACAATGTTAACTCAACTGCTTACCCACTAAGTACACCAAGAACCAGGTTAAGTACGAAAAATGAGCCAAGGATGATAAGACTAACAAAATAGATCCATGGCCATTCACATCCTATTGCATCATTTACCTGTAAAATGTAAGGAAATAAGTTATGATTCAGTCATTCATTAAACAGCAGAGTCCTTTTTGCAGCTGCCAGATCACGTAGGTTTCAACACTGAAAGTTTATGGCTTATTCAGTTCTTAAAAAAAAAAAAAAATCAATGAACATTTGTTTAATTTCTTTACTTACCCAAATTATGTTGCAGATGTGATGCCTTAGAAGATGAATTAAAATGACATTTAAATAAGTGCAGAATAATTATTAGTCCTTTTTATATTTTTGCCACAAATATGGACATGAAGAATATATACTTGTACGTTTAAACTCTGATTTTGGTATTTGTATGTTATTTATATGATAGCTACAGAAGACTGTTTCTGTTCTAATTAGAGGAGAAAGAAATAGAGGTTTATTAAAAGATGTCACCACAACTGAAGTCTCACCTGTATAAGATAACCTGTGTGTTCATGGCAACTGAATTCAGGACTCTGCCTTCATGATCAAAAAGGTGTATGCTTACCCGCTCAATACACCAAGAACAAGATTTAGTACGAAAAATGACCCAAAGATGACGAGACTGACAAAATACACCCATGGCAATTCAAATCCCATAGCATCATTCATCTGCAAGAAATAAGATGATCTTATAGAGCAGATCACTATAGTAACAGCAGTGAAGAGTCAGAGAAAAAGAGAATTTAATCATTCAGGTGAGATAGCATTCTATACATTCCTTCAGTATTCAAAGAAGAACAATACAAGAAAGAAGGCACTGGCCACATTCACTTTGCATTTCTAACACATATTCTAAAAGAAAATACTGAGTGAACCTAGCATTCAGATCAAAAATATTATCAAACATAAATGGAGCACTGCAACAGTTCTGTTCTTCAACACCTAGAACATGAACTAAATTTCAGATCTCACTAATTAAAATGATGCTTACAAAGTATACTGAAATATTAGGATTTTTAGTTCATATATATCCTAGCTACGTGAATGATCCCTTGAGAAAAGAAACAGTAATATGTATCTCAACAGTAGAAGCAATCTTATTTTTTCTGTGACATGGAATTTCAATATGTTTCTCCTGAAATACTACAGTTGGATGCAGACATTTTAAATTAATTAGATTAATTAATTAAAAAATAAATGAGCATGAATTTGTGTAAAAACATGAACACAATTTTAGGAAAATGAAAAACTGAAATCAAATTTTAGAAAGCTAGTGGAAACATGGAAATATTCCAGGAACACTTCTGAACAAAAATTGTATCAAGATCAAGGTTAAGTGGCATTTAAAAAGTTGTTACTGGTTTGGTTGTTTTGTTTTTGGTGTTTTTTTTTTTTTTTTTTAAGTAAAGTTTAAGTAACTGAGCTTTAAAAACACTCTTTACAGACTCACACAAGCTTTTCTATAAAGACCTTTTCCACTGTCTATTCTTAGCGAACTCAATATACCTATAAGATGGACTTAAACCACCATGGAAAACTAAAAAGGCCTATTCAGAAAAACAGTCTTTTTAAAACACAGGGAAATTGTTCTTCTGTGTAGCATTCAGGTGCAAAAAGACATTTTGATAAGTTACAACAATAATTCTGGCTTGGAACTTCTTGGAAAGGTCTTTTGTGGGAGAGGAATTATTCTGGCTTTTTTGTTTATACTGACAAGTTTGCATTAGATTCTTCTTAAGATGCTTTTTAGCCATGAAAATTCAGCAGAAAATAAAAATACCATGAGCATTCGAGACTGGATATGGCCTTGTAGAACAATCTTTGGGCAAACCTTTTTCCTCTTCTGTGAATGCTGTTGCGTTTCTTGTATCTGAAATTTGTGATTAGGCTTTGAGCTTTATTGATAGTCAAGTTTGACTCCTGTCCTTTACATCTCTGTTGGACTAGACATATTAAACATGGGAACAAACGTTTTTCAAACTGTACTACTTATTTTATTTATTCCTCTATCTTTTAAAAATGTATCATAATCTCAGTTTCTGCAAGGTGGCCCTATGGATGGTTAGATATAAGCACACGCATTAAGCCTTTGCAGGTTAAGGCCCATAGGCACTTTTTCTTCAATGGTGATCTGTAATAATGTCACTTTATACGAACTAAAGTAAACAAACTTTCTAAGTAACCAGAGAAGATTATTTTATACAACTTCTTCGTGCATCCTTTAAAATAATCTCTCTATGTATCACCTTTTAAAATGCTTTAGTAATTGAACTAAGGTATTGAAAAGAAACTTAAAATTACTTAGACTTGCTAGGAAAAAAAGAAAACTGCTAAGTCTGTATTTGGATTTTTTCCTTTTAATTTCAATAAAACTACGTTTTGGAGAAATTAAAATGGAGAAGGGTTATAGCCATTCATAAAGGCTGGGATCACTACCTTCAATTTTAGAAGATCCCAAGTTTCTGTAGTCCAATTCTGCAACAGCATATGCATATGGAAAATAAAGTCTTTCATAATGTTGCCATTCTACTGACCTACTTAAACTTAGTCTCCTGTGCAATACTTCTAGCAATACTTAGCATGTCAGGTGCCTATGCCAAGGAGATCAGTTGTGGTTTGGGGTTTTTTTATCATCCATTCCCACTCCCTCAGAGCAAGCCCCCTAACATTTGAGAAGTCTTAACAATGAAGATGCTCAGGTATTTAGTAAAATACCCTATTGCCCAGACTGAATTTCTGTTTTGTCCCAGTGTATGTTGCTCTTTGCATCTTTTTTCAATTGTAGGTATCTGGCCTTAAGGTTTAGGAATAAAATTTACTAAATGGTTTTTTAAAATGCATATTCATAATTATTTTATTACTTTAGAATTGAGTTTGCTTCATAGAAATTATTCATATGATACAGGTAAAGTATTTTCTTAACAACAGCTGATAAGAGCAAACATTCTGATTAAATTTCAAATACATATAAAAGCATTTTGCATCTAACTTGGCTCTGCATCTTGGCTCTGTATATTAGGGAGTGTTTCGATTGTCTAGAGCTCAACAATTGTGATGATGATACGGTCGAGTGTTTATGGGTAAGGATGGGGGGGAAGGCCAACAAGGCAGATATCCTGCTGGGAGTCTGTTATAGGACCACCCAACCAGGATGAAGAGGCAGATGAAGCATTCTACAAGCGGCTGGCAGAGGTGTCTCGATCGCTGGCCCTTGTTCTCATGGGGGACTTCAACTTCCCAGACATCTGCTGGAAATACAACACAGTAGAGAGGAAGCAGTCTAGGAGGTTCCTGGAGTGTGTGGAAGACAACTTCCTGACACAGCTGGTAAGTGAGCCTACCAGGGGAGGTGCCTCGCTCGACCTGCTGTTTACAAACAGAGAAGGACTGGTGGGAGATGTGGTGGTCAGAGGCCGTCTTGGGCTTAGCGACCATGAAATGGTAGAATTCTCAATTCTTGGTCAAGTAAGGAGGGGGGCCAGCAAAGCCACAACCATGGTCTTCCGGAGGGCGGACTTTGGCCTGTTCAGTACGCTGGTTGAGAGTCCCTTGGGAGACAGTCCTGAAGGGCAAAGGGGTCCAGGAAGACTGGACGTTCTTCAAGAAGAAAGTCTTAAAGGCGCAGGAGCAGGCTGTCCCCATACGCCATAAGAGGAACGGGCAGGGAAGACGACCGGCCTGGCTGAACAGGAAGCTCTTGCTGGGACTAAAAAGGAGAGTTTACCACTTGTGGAAGAAGGGGCAGGC